CTCTTCTGCCTTCGATTCTGCCTTTTGCCTCAAATCCCAACTCGACTGCAGTCGACGCGCAAAAGTGGAACCAGTTAAACGTGTGGAGCGCATCGCAAGAGCGACTGAATCGCGTTTTTTATCACGTATACGCCACCATTTCCCCACTCGGTTTTTTACCCCCATTCGTGTGTCTGTCTGTGTGTTCGTGTTAAAAAAAAGGAAAATCAACCCTTAACGCTTTTTTAGGGGTGCAACAAACACACCAGTTTTGAACTCAAAATCCCAAACGCCGGCAAAGGGAAAGGGAGAGAGAGCGAGAGAGAGCGCCCAGAGAGGAGCGAGAAAGAGAGAGCAGACACCATCATCATCATATCATCATCATTCGAACCCAAACATTCAGTTCAGGCCTAGAGCGATTATCCGTTAGTTCGCAGAGAGGTGTCCTGACCGCTGCGACCGCTTCTCTGTTGTCAGTTTCACACGAGACACGAACGCGTCCACACGAAAGCGGCGCTTCCAAACAAACATACTAAATATAACAAAATATATGACAAACAAAAAACAGATACCAAACACCAAATAAGAATCAATCAGATCAGAACAGAAAAGAACCCAGTGCTAAAGTGAATCTACAGTGCTTAAAACATTGAACATATCGCATATAAACATTTGCATTGCACTATTGAGTTGTGAAAATGGTTATGTCGGAGCTACGTTGGCACACCGCTAGTCCCGAGGATAATAAGAACTCCTTGAAGCGCGATTTGCTCAAATCCACACCGACCAGCGCCCGCGAGGCCGCCGTCCACATAATGCAGAATCGATGTAAGTGAATGCCTTCAGAAAAACTTAAATACATCAGTTACAGTTTAAAAACTTGAAATAGAAAAGATAAGAACAAATTAAAATTACCATTTCCCTAAACATTTTGGTAGACAATTATGCCTATAAAGCTTGTATTTGAAACTTTACCTTTTTTAAAGTCAATTATGCTTTACTAAGTTTGTATAAACTTTTATTTCTGGTAAATCATAATTATTGGAAATATATCTTAATGATTGCTTATTTAATTTAACTTTTTATTTATATGTGTGCAATGGGAAATATATATTTTTCTTTATAAAGCTTATTTTTTGTTTATCATTCAATCTTTAAGAGAAGGGACTTCGATTATATTTTTTTAACTTAACTATGCTTTAAATGTCAATCCCAAAGATTTTTAATTTTAGATTTTTGTTTATGATATTTTAAAATTAATATGACTTACAATAAAATTACATTATGGCTTAAGTGGATTAAGTCGACCTTTTAGAAATTAATTTATTTGATTAGGTGACCAAACTTTGAGTTTTTGACAATGCAGATCAAATAGGAAAAAAGTTATGCAATTTTTTGTGATATTTTAATTAATCAAACAATATCCCCACTAAGAACGTTTCTAATGGGAACTCATAAAAATGTTCTCATTAATCAAACAATATCCCCACTAAGAACGTTTCTAATGGGAACTCATAAAAATGTTCTCATGAAACACCCACCAATATCCACCCAACTCCGATTTCCCCAATTGCTTGTGCCAAATCCGCCTTTCCATTGAATTACTAAGCCAGACCTCGTGAAAATTACCATGACTGAGTCAGGTGCTCTGCACAAACTAAAACCCCAAGACTCAATGCCCAACACCTAGAACAAAGAAAACTGCAATCTGCTTATTGAAAATAAACACCGGCACAGGTGTATCTGCCATAAATATTAACTCCCAGCGACCCACTTAAAGTCGGGTCTCAAGAACCGGGCGGTGCCAGGCGGGAACCACAAACTAACAAATGAGAATTACAAATACCGGACCATAAAAATATTTATTAAAGACGCATTTCTTGCACAACTAGCCCACAAATATGACCATGTAAATAGGTACGGTTAGGGGTACTGCGACTGGTGGCGATGGGCACTCAATGGAACCGCTTGGCCGTTGTAAACAATACTTTTAATTTGTTACCTTATCAATTATCGTTTTCGAAGCGCGGCAAATGCAGGGCAATAAAAAGGCGCATTTCGATGACAAATATTATAAAAAATCGTTGAATGTGGCATACGGAATATGCGTAATAATTCCGATGAGCCATACTTGAGGTGCACCAAGTGGTACGGGCTCAAGACGTGTACTTTGGAATGGGCTATGATTGATTATGTAAAATCCGACGAATGAAAAGTGAGTAATTTGGTAGTTAACTTGAGTATTCGGGTCGGCAGATAAGCAGGTGACTCTGGGACATTCAAATGACATAGGCGTAAGATAATAAAAACGGGGAATTTTTCACTATATGCAAAGTTCCACTTCTGTGCCTCGTTTCGAGCACGTGACGCAAACGGCACTTCTAATCTAAAGAACTAACGATAGCTAATATATGTCTCATGATATTCATATAAGAGTTTACCTTGTACAATACGATTTGCTTATCGCGCCGCTTATCGCCCAAACCAAAATCGAGCCAACATTTCGCACACCTGCAGAATTATAAAAGATTCCGTGAAGTCCACCTCTAAGAGTAAACAAGTTTCGTCATTTTGTGATGATTTTAATAAATTAATCGAAGCCCTCAGAAAATACTGTTTCGCCAATCAGTTTTAAATTAATATATTTGGTCGATTACGGTCCCGCCAATTGACGACAATGTCCAACTTGAATAATAACATTATTTTTAGTCATTGTCCATGAGCTCATGCAGTCTTGTTGTTGGTGTTTTTGTTCTATATCGTCTTATCACCTATCACCGCCATAAAAACCGATCAAGAAAGAGGGCGTGTGTCCGCTGGCTCAACTTTTTATGGGTAATTCTTAGAACCAAAAGGAAATAAATGAAGAGTCGTTTAAGATTTACAATTGGCAAGCGGAAATCGATTAAAAATGGAGACAATATTGTTTTGTAATGCAGGTTGAGTGATAAGCAAAAAGTTTGTTTAAGGGGGGCTTAAAAAGTGGTTTGAAATCAGTTAAGACGTAAAAACCATTTGAGTTGTTTAAAAATGGCTTAAATGGATAGTTGAATATTTAATTAGCATTTATTTTAATATGCTCAGTCTACAATTGCTTGCCTAGTATATGAAATTAATCAGAAGTCATTTTAAATAATAATTATAAAGTATCTGAAAGACAAATGAGAAATTCTTATAGCAATTGTTGAGATTAAATACAAATATTTGACAACAAACTCAGCTTCTGAGCCTAAAGGACTACTCTCCCTAATTGTTTTCGCACTCTCTCAAATTCCCTAATCAAGCTTTCATTTCGCCGCATTTGAAGCTTTCTCTCTTTGCGATTTTGCTAGTTTTGTTTTGCTACGAATATACAGGCGAAGACAAAGGCCAAAGAGCACGCACATCATGTTTGCTTTCCCTTCATTCTATTATATTTTATTTTATTTATTTATGTTATTTTTCGGCTACTTTTCGGGGGTCCCAGCAGCACTCGCGCTCGCACTGCCGCTCGCACTCGCACTCCCATGCCGAAATGGAGGGGTCAAGAGTTCAAGACACGCAGCTTCCGCCGCCGACAACGACGACTCAATCGATAGTCAGTCTCAGTCTGCGCACGTGATGGCCATATAGCATATATGGTCGGTGGTCGATTGGTCTGCCAGTGTGTTTGTGTTGGCAAAGCCAGCCCAGCCACCCCCAGCCAGCCAACTGTCGAGGTCATTGACTAATTGTGTGCGCCACACAGCCCAATGTGGCCGACTTCCCCCTTGGCCATCATAAACCGCCACCCCCGCTGGGCGATTCTCTAAAATTTTACTTATTTCCCTGCCGCTTTTTTTGGGGGTGGCCTGTGGTTTTCGCAAATTCTCTGCCAAAAACTGTAAAATTCTCAAAACAATTCAAATACTGCTCATTTCACTCGTGCTGGACACGCGCGAGGGTGTTGAATTTCCCGGGCTCTCCACCTCCAAGTTACATAATTTATGTGGCATTTTAACGCCCGGTTTTTGTAAAATGTTCCTCTACCTAACCCAACTCCAGCCGATATATATTCTGGATCCGCACATATGCCGCACCACTTCAACTGGCAGCAGTTGTGCCGCTTAATTAGCGGACCAGAGGCGTGGCCAAAAGAGGCGACAGAAGTGTGCCAGAAGTGAGGAAAGATTGTGGAAGCGAAGGGAAGAAACCCATTCCAAGTAAACTGATTCATTGGGAACAGGATCTTAGGTAGCGAAATCAAAAAGGAGTCATTCAACTTACAGGGTCAGATTTGGAGAATATCATATTAGAAAATATCAGTCGGTAATTATTCTATAAGAAATCAATTATCACTTATATCTAAAGAAAAGTAGAAACAAGTATAATATTAACCACTAAGAAATTATGCAAGAAACTAAGAGTCTACTAATATTTAAAAACTTGAAACATGGTATTCTAAATAATAATCAAATTTATATTTACTTATTAAAGACAAGCTCTTAAGAAAAGACTTATTCATGCAAAAAAGAAACATTTAATCAGCTAATAGAAGCCTTACAAATTTAAAAACCCAAACCTCTACCGTAATACAACACCCTAAAAGAGAACTCGATTTCTAATGCATTTTAGAGAGGTCACCACACTGCACTCGTAAATTAGCCTGCGAGACCAAACAAAATTCAATTTCTCCAGACATAAAAATGCAGCCAGCACAAATGTTGTCTGCTCCGAACTCCAAACTCCAAAATTCAAATCGTGCACGGACCAGGTGTTCCTTGGACTCCATTTCAGCTCTCGACTGCCCCTCGACGAGGTCCATAAAAATATCCTTTTATAGGCAACGGTATAGATGTCTGGACTGGCCATTTGGTCAGTCCTGGCTTTGAATGTATATCGATATCGATTTTGTGTATCGTAAACTTGAGCGTTTGGCTCTCCCAAAATTTGTATTTTTGCTACTTCCGTTTTATGCCCGCGACGTGTGTTATTTTAGTTTTAGCTTTAAGTGGTCTCAATTTAGCCAGTCTAAAATTTTTGTTTTCCCTTTTTCTTTTCAGATATCAGTCGCCTGTCGCGTTCGCCGTCGCCACTGCAATCGAATGGTAAGTGTGTTTGCTTTTCCCCATTTTAGAGCATCAGCTGTTGTCCGAAAACGATTTACGAGATTTGTCCACTTCATGTGGGATATATACGTATACATACTTTGAGTCTGGAACATCTGCTTTTTGGGGGCAGCGGCATGAGGCATCTCGGTTTCACTAAATCACTCGCATGTTTTCGGTTTGACAAAAAGACAATAAACCGGAGGGAATAGCAACCCTTGCCTGCGACAGCCACGCGCTAGGCCCTCGTATATAGGGTATATATCTGGGTTACTATCGGGGTTGGTTTGTTTTCCCCGGTTTCCTAGGGAGGCTACCCCTCGCACAATGGCCTGTCAAAACTTTTGTCACAACCGAAAGGGCTGTGATTTAACTGAGAGGGGGAAGGCGTCTTTAAGTTGATTTTGATGTCTTATTAAATGGGTGTTTCGACTTAACAGCTTCTTAAGTAGTTTCTGAGGTGACAATTGGGTCTGTCAATTCCCCCTAATTGTGCGATAACAGACGAGCGAAGGAAAACCATTGTGGATGGCTGTCTTTGGGTGCATTATACATTTTTGATAGATTCATAAAACCTTCGATTATTATTCATAACTCGTTCCTCGAGGAGGCTGCGTTCAATTTGCAATTCACACTTTTCAAATTTCATGGACTTCGTTAGTCACGGTCCGAACAAAAACCAACTTCAACCTTTTCTGGCCCCTTTTCATTTTTTTTACCACATTATTGACAGCATTTCGCTTGATTTGAATTCGAATATGTGTGCGGGAGGCTGTCTGGACGTGTGTGCGTGTGTGCGACTGGACACAGTTGCTGTGATTTCTTTCACGAACATGAACATATATATTTACATATATTTTATGCAAAAATTATTCCGTTATGCCGGCCGTATGTGGGAGCGCTTTTGGGGTAGCTCGATGTGCAGTCAAACTGACCATTTGGCTTTTTTTTATTGGTTGTGCTAAATGGAACAGGAGCGTGGTCAGAAGGGGTTTGATTACGAAGTTCGTTTTGGTGTCTTGGGTTCTTTAGATACATTTGTATTAACACTTTTATTTCTAGTTTTCTGTTGTTAAAAATGTTTTTACAAAAGAATAATATTTAAAAATGTGAAAATGTTTTTCCTTTCTTTCCTTGAAATATTGTATAACCTACTCATGACCATTTTTTGGGTTATTCGTTATTACGAGCTCCTTTTCTTTAAAATGTGTCTAGTACATAGCATTTTATAGTTACGCAAGAGTACCCAATGCAATCCAGATTCCTCTCAACTTACCTTAGATTCCCTAAAACCCATGTATAAGCAAACCCATCTACGCCAATGTCGATAGCCATTCACACAACACATACAAATCGAATTTGCACATCATCTGAATACCAAATGGACGCACGTAGCCCGTCCAAGGAGAAGGAAAAAAATCGTTCCTGTCCCGGGCTCGGTCGCATATGTAAAAAGGATGACCATGTGGTCGGTGGGTCGCCCACTTGGGCGAATAAGTCATCAAATTCACGTAGCATCCAACCACCAACGGGTCGGGAATCGGGAATCGAATATCAGGAGGCGAGCACAAGTCATAAAGTAGCCCAGGCAAACATATGCAAAAATTGCCTGCAGTGGACAGGATGTGGAAATTGGTTGGGGGAATGGGATTGAGAATGGGAGTATGGGAGTATGGGAATGTGAGATTCGGGGTCCCAGACCAGGGTCCACTTCAAAGGGTTTAACTTCTTTGATTGCCATTTATGAGGGAGGAAGTCTGGGCTTCTAGTTTGCAGTTTTAGCTCAAAAATGAACTCGTCCTGTATTTAAATATTATTGCAAATCAATTGGCCTGGGCCCAACCCTCTCATATGCCCGTCACCCTGTTGTATAAATAAAATGCATACAAATAGCAAATTTATACAAATCGCTTGGCCAGGCATTTGAAATGCTAAAATGCCACTTAAAAGCAGCTAAAAGCGTCAGCCAAAATGAAAAGAAAACACGAGAATTCCATTTGATGTCAAGGTGGAACTATGTAAACTATGGACCCGGCTCGAAGGGGGTGAAAAGCTGAAGAGCTGAAGACATTTTCGCATAATAAACCCACTGCGGTGGGTGGTCACGTGAAAGGCTTTCACTCGAAACCGAAACCCAACGGACTATGAAATTGAACGAAAATTATACAAAACGCTCGTGTGGCCTATGCTAAATTTATGCAAAAGGACATTCGAATGGGAACCGGTCAGGGGAACTCGAGGTCCCCACCGGGTGACTCATTTTGCATAGCTTGGGAAGATGGGAAAATACATTTTCCATGGGACTTGACCAGTTGGTTACGCCTTTTTCTAAGTAAGATTGAAATAGCTTTGAGGGTTTCTATTTGGCAACATTTTTTCTTTACTGGGTATAAATATTGACATGCTAAAGGGAGTTGTTACTTTTAGGCTACTCAGTTCTTCTAGAGATTATTTAAGGGAATATTTGATTTACTTTCGAATAGATAACATACATATTTTTGCTCAAAGTATATTATTTATTTGATTTCCCTAACCCATAAATTTGCATTCTTTTTTGTAGCTTCAGATTGCGATGACAACAACTCGAGTGCGGGCACCTCGAGCGATCGCTGTCGATCTCCGCTGAGTCCTGCTCTGTCCTTGACCCACCAGCAGGCCAAGCGGCAGCTGCTGTCGCTGCAGCCCCACCCGGCCCACCACCACCACAATCCGCATCATCTGAACCACCTGAGCCACCACCAGTACAAGCAGGAGGAGGACTACGAGGACGCCAATGGCGGTGCCTTGAACTTGACCAGCGACAATAGCCGCCACAGCACCCAGTCGCCGGCGAACTCGGTGAAGTCGGCGATGGCGTCGCCGGTGCCGGTGATCTCGGTGCCCTCGCCAGTGGCGCCCATGATCTCTCCGGTGCTGGCGCCCTCGGGCGGAGCGACCACGCCCCCTTCGATGGCAGCAGCGGCCGCGGCGGCCGCCGCCATGGCCTCCTCCATGGGCTCCGGCATCTCGCCCCTGCTGGCCATTCCGGGCATGTCCTCGCCACAGGCTCAGGCTCAGGCACAGGCACAGGCCCAACTGGCCGCCGCAGGCTTGGGCATGAACAATCCCCTGCTGACCGGCTCCCTGTCGCCGCAGGACTACGTCCAATTCCAGCAGTTGCTGCAGCAGCGCCAGGTGGCCTTGACGCAGCAGTTCAACAGCTACATGGAGCTGCTGCGCAGTGGCTCCCTGGGACTGGCGCAGGATGACCCGGCCCTGACCACCCAGGTGGCCGCCGCCCAGTTCCTCATGCAGAGCCAACTGCAGGCCTTGAGCCAGGCCACCCAGCAGCTGCAGGCCCTGCAGAAGCAGCAGCAGAGGCAGCAGGAGGAGCCACTGCAGCTGAACCACAAGATGACCATGGGGCAGCAGCCGCGCAGCTCCACGCCCCATTCGGTGCGTAGTCCCATTGCGATCCGCAGTCCGGCCAGTTCGCCCCAGCAGCTGCACCACCACCACCACCACCATCCGCTGCAGATCACGCCGCCCAGCTCGGCGGCCAGTCTGAAGCTGAGTGGCATGCTGACCCCCAGCACGCCCACCAGCGGCACCCAGATGAGCCAGGGCACCACCACGCCGCAACCTAAGACGGTGGCCAGTGCCGCTGCTGCACGGGCGGCGGGTGAGCCCTCGCCGGAGGAGACCACCGACCTGGAGGAGCTGGAGCAGTTCGCCAAGACCTTCAAGCAGCGCAGGATCAAACTGGGCTTCACCCAGGGCGATGTGGGTCTGGCCATGGGCAAACTGTACGGGAACGACTTCTCGCAGACCACCATTTCGCGGTTCGAGGCCCTCAACCTGAGCTTCAAGAACATGTGCAAACTGAAGCCGCTGCTCCAGAAGTGGCTGGATGACGCCGATAGGACCATCCAGGCCACCGGCGGGGTCTTCGATCCGGCAGCACTGCAGGCCACCGTGAGCACGCCCGAGATCATTGGGCGCCGGCGCAAGAAGCGCACCTCCATCGAGACCACCATCCGCGGTGCACTGGAGAAGGCCTTCCTGGCCAACCAGAAGCCCACCTCCGAGGAGATCACCCAGCTGGCCGACCGCCTCGGGATGGAGAAGGAGGTGGTGCGCGTGTGGTTCTGCAACCGCCGGCAGAAGGAGAAGCGCATCAACCCCTCGCTGGACAGTCCCACGGGCGCCGACGACGACGAGTCCTCCTACATGATGCACTAGGCATGGGGCATCCAGCGAGGTCGCGTTTAGGGACAAAGACAGTGCAATGTGCCGGAGAAATCAAAGGAAGCTTAGCAACACTATGAGCAGGTGTGTATTTCTTTTTTAAAAATATTTAAAGCACTGGTGTATAGGGTAATCAGTATATGAAAGAGTTTTTATTAATATAAATATTAATATAGTATATATAGGTATCAAACTAAATATCATTAAACTTTTTTTTAATATAAAACTAGTTTATTTATAAAATTACCATTCATGCAGTTTCTAAATTTATTGTTTTGTGTATGTAGAGGTATACAATTATTTATTTTTTTTAAATTACTAGAAGTTGAGGTTTAAAATTAAAATGCCATGATGTCAAGCTATTTGTGAAACCTAACCTTGGAACCTTATTATTATTATTTGTTTATATATATTTCTTAAATATTTGAATCGTTTTATTTGTCAAACCAAGCATTTCATGTACCTAAAAGCATTTTTTTACAAATTAATGTGAAATAGTTTTATTTTTAATTTAGAGATTGTCAGCCTGATTAAGAGAGTTATTTTAAAAATGTTCTATACCTTTACTAACGTTATCTCTTCCTTTGCTTATTATCTTGCAGGTTCAAAGTCGCAAACACATCAAATACTAGCATAATTCTGTACTACGGATAGGTATACACTCCTACACAAAATGGGGTTTGCTATGTTAACTATTATTGGTATTTAGTTTAATGTAATTGAATTGAAATTGAAAATATTGCTGTGCAAGTGAACTGGTTTAAGCTTGTGCGACAAAGTTCACTTGACCATCAACATTTTGCAGGCCATAGGGAAATGGTATTTTTTGCTTCGACTAGCAAATCAATTCGATTTCTTTATGGTTTTTTGTGTCGTTTGTGTATTACTAATATTTAAGTACAGTCTATCCACAATTTTCAAAGTCAACATAATTCCTAGCGAATAATTATAAAGTTAAACACTTTCCACACAAACAAAAAGTAAATTACTTACTAAGCATATTTATTTTTCGCGTGAATACTGTGATAATCAATTTGAATGATTTTAATTTTAATTAAAAGAAAAAGAACACAAAGAAAAACAACATAAACATTAATTAGGTATACTTTGTATGTTATGGGCAAGTAAACTAACACAAATAAAACAAAACATTAATGTAAACTTAAATCCATCGTATTTATGTGTAAAAACCAATTGAATTTATGAAAAAGAAACACAAAATCTTTTCCAATTGTAAAACATGAAAAATCATTAGAATTTTTAAATGTATAACTACAAAAAGAGAATCGAAAACTCACACAAAACAATGAAATAAAAATTATTATCATACAAAATAATTTCGAAAACCTTTTATTTGGGAACAAAGCTTTCTTAAAATTTCAGCTCTTTTCCGCAAAGTATTTATTTTGCTCTTGCATGCATATACAGAACATATCTCAAAGATATCAATCACAAGGAATGGAATTCGTTTCTGAAATTAGCTCAGCGGCGCATATGAAAGGGCATCACGAAGAATTGCAAACGTCTGGGCAGAAGGCGATCTGAAATTTTAATAAATAACAACATGCAAAACTGAAATTAATTCATGGAATTCAAGTGAGAGGGAAGCGCGTGCAGAGCTAATAAGAACCAGACACCCGCAGTAAGGCAACTGGACCGCTTCGATCTCATGACCAAGATATCAGCATGCAGATGAGCCACATGAAACGAGGTTCCACAGTCTTTCAGGGGGGCGAACCCGGGTCACTCCGAGTACCCACACTATCAATGGGAAGCCGACAAAACAAAATGAATCTACTGCGATTTGGTGAAGGCGGAGGAACGACGTTTGCTGTCATTGTCGCTCCAGCTTTGAGCAATTAAAAATTGTATACTATCTCTGTGAGTTGGCAAGTCGAAAGCACAGGGTGTACTCGCTAAATAAAAAGGTAAGAAATCTTCAGGACGTTATTAGTTATGGTATAATGAGTATGGTGCACAATGTTCGCTGTAAATTAATGGATTTATTTATAGAATTTGGGTTGTTAATGTGCTTAAGTTTAAACCTGCAATGAAAAGGTGGTAAATTTGTCTTAAAATACTTTTTTTTTTTTTTTTATTTAAAGCCTCTCATTGACAAATAATTTAAGCTCTGAACAAATATATATATTTTTAAACTACTCAAATAAATTAAAATATTATTAAGTTGTCAAAACAAGTTTAGTTTGTGAGTCTAAAAATGACTTTTTTTGTAATTTTAAACACTTTTTAGTTATTTTTTTTTTTGGTATTAAACTAATAATACATTTTTAATTTGACGGTGAGCTAGATTATTCAAGAGTATTTTTAAAACTATTTGATAACGTTTTTGCTCTATAAGACGCCCGTTCTTCACACACTAGAACTGACTGTATCCATTAGCAGAGCAGAAGCTCGACATATACGCAAATGATGTTGAAAGCAGATGCAGATGCCCTCCCATCGACCTCCTGGTAAATTCGTACCGCCGCTCTTCCGCAGACACTTGTTTGCATGGAAAGCGCATAATCATCGCGTGTCATGTGGAAATTTATACTATTTATGGTCTGTTTGTTTGTAGTCAGATGGAATCAAACGGAATGGGTAGCGCTGGGCTTTGGTGTTGGGCCTTGAATGGGGTGGGAGTGGGATGGGGTTGGGTACGAGATGTTAGCCCTGGGCACTTAAGCCTGGCTTTTGTCTGCCTTGCCCTTAATTTTAATAAATTCATGGAAAATTGCTGGTAATTACGAGACAAGCGACGACTATTTCACAGGAATTCAGCGGCTCAGCCCGCCATTTCCTTCCGAAAGAAACTGCCTCAATAGGGGGACATTTGCATATAAGAAAATTGGAGCTCGTAAACCCCATTAACGCGTACAGCTAACATTGTAGATGGATTGCGATAAATCTTTTTGGCCCTCGGGGGCGTCTAAATATGAGTGTGACTCCGAGACCCCCAATTGGCATTTCCCAGGCAACTTTCTTACCAGCGCGAAATTGTGAATATTCATTCCGGACCTCTAAGTCTGGGGCTTAAGTTCTACATGCTTAAATCAACTGAATTATACAAATTAAAGCACATTTAATTACCGGCCCAAGATGGTGCGGAATTATAGCTTTAAGGTGATGGGTCGCTTGCAACCTCTTCGCTTTTACTCCATTTAAATCACCGATATGAGCAGCCTAACACCTGCTTTACTTCTTGCGGGACTGTCTTCTTGTCATGCAGTGGCATCAAAGACATCAAAACTAACCTGAATGAGGCATAAATTTCATCAGACTCTTTTTTATTTGCCTTCCAACTTTCTAGTCGCGAGCTGCGGCTACAAAAAAAAAAGAGGAAAATTTGCAATGCATTGCATTTTAGTTGGAATTGCTTAATTTATCAGTTCAGCACACAGTTGGCATTTCCAGCCCGGAAAATGGAAAAGGGGGAGTCGGGCGAGGCACGGACCCATGAATATGCATTGTGGAACTTGCCTCTGCCACATACTTTTAGTTAGACATTTTATTTCATTGCTGCATTATAGATACACCCTGTTTTTCTTTTTAAAAGAGGCCTTCGGTTCAATACCAGGAATTGTGAGGTGGTTGTTGGGGAATGCCACTAAGCGAACAATTCAAAAATCCAATATGATTCATTCAGGGTTCGATATATGCAAAAATATACTCGAGGCTGTAAGCCACTTTTACAAACCTATCCTGGTTTGAAGATAAAATTCCTTTTAAATTAAATATATTCGTAGGTTTTGAAGGCAAGCTTGGCAAATTATATGGTTAATATTCATTGTCTCGAAATTTTGTTATTATAAAATATATTTTTTCAAAAATGTATGGTATAATGATAATTAATTATACTATTTTTCAAAGAATTAAGAAAGGTTTAAAAGTAAGTACATTGGCCGAATGCATTTAATATAAATTCCTTTCCGTTCAGCTTCAGCAAACTGAAAGTCTGAGTCATAACCGTATTGCCACTTACATCCCACCCCCACCAAATCAATAGCTAACCCAATAACTACCAATACTGACCTCAAAATCATACAAAGCACTTGGAATTAAAGCATTTGCGTGTACCTAATGAATGCAATTGCAGACCACAATCGAATGCCAAAACTCGGAGCTCGACAACCGCGAGCAGGTGTTCTCCAATAGCAAATTATGCAACTTTAATTTGCCTTCGACAAAAAAAAAAGAACGAGAAACAAAGAAGCCTTATTAGCATTCGGCCAATGCAAAAGGGAGCCAATTTGTAAATTATATGAAAAGGTCGAGCATGCAAGTTAACCACTTCCCGTTCCTGCTGGTCATTAATTAAAAATTAGTTTTGTAAATAGTTTGCTCGCCTTTTTGCGCGATTCGGCTTCAGTTTGTGCGGCATTTTAGTATGTATTTTCTTTGTTTGTTCCTTTGGAAATTAAATTGTTTTATAACGAAGTGTCTGTGGGTTGCGAAGCGCAAAAGTGGCGCCGTCCCCTTCCCCCCTCTCCCCTCCCCTTCCGGGGCAAATGGTTAACTTCCCTGCACTTTGCATGCGATCATGCAATTGCACCGGGCGGAGTGGGCGGTCAAGTGGGCGGGTCGGGGGGTGGGGCCCGCAACCCATCCCGGTCCATAATATTTTTGAATTTAATTTACGGCCCGAGACTCATTAAAGCTCGTGGCCATAGAATGTCTCTGATGGCCAGCTTGTGATTGCCCAGGGAACCGGGATCCGGTAACGAAATGGAGGCCCAGAACCCCTTCCCCCTATTCGACTCTCTTGGCTGGGTATGTTAATTTCGGCTGGAGGAAAAAAGAGGACTGTGTAGCCACAACACCTACTTCATTACAGGTTGCAGAAATATAATGCAGCTAGTGTTTCATGCCTCTTTGAGGTAATTTTTCATAAATGAACAGTGGGTCGAAGTGTGAAGAATACGAAATGGTAAGAAAACTTAACATACCACGAAGTACAAGAAACTCTTAACTCAAAACGCAAGCATGGTATACTAAATACATATTAGAAATGTATTATATTTATCACAATATGCATCCTAAAAATGTTTATATTTATATAATAAAGTTTTGTCCAGAAAGAATGAATGAATATAATAAGAACTGTGGCAAACATTTAGCGCAGTCTCCTTGAAATGCAATATTTTTATTTGTGGTAAATTTAAAGTATCGTCTCCCAATACCCCACTATTTGATACCACTGTTCTACTACAAATCGAGTCGGTGCATTATGCCAAGAACTATCAAATTCTTATTAAATAACAATGTAAAGCCGATCCCCTGAGACCAGCGCATCGCGTTAATAGAAAACATCATCAAAGCGAACAAATATACATTTTATGATTGCGATAATCAACAAAGACACACAAAGAGAGGAACGTTTGGCCATGGTCAGTGGCTAGGTGGAAAATTATAATACATATAACTAATTAGTAAATATCATTTGCTGTCCGGAATCGCGTACATTAGATATAGACACCAGCCATGCAAAGACATAAAATCAGGCTAAAATCTGCAATCTACAATCTTACAATGATGAAGAGCGCAGAAAGAGGGCTCGCACGCAATCCAAACGGACAGTATTTTTATTTCTCATTAAATGCACATTAAATGCACATTAAACCCGCTGTTAATTGTATTTTCTTGTTCCGCGGGAGCCATGCAAATCGCCTTTTGTGGGTGTTTTGCCTGTCAACCGATTCCGATCATGGAATTCTCTCACAAAACCCCTTGATTACTTTTTTTAAGCGGGAGGGATCGTTCTCATCTCGTGTCGGCCGACATGAAGCCAATTAAAGCTGCAACTGCACTTGCAACAGCAAGTGTCATAAAATTTAATTTATTTAAATTAAGACAATGGCAAAAAATTTGCGTTTTTAATTGTCAAGTGCGGCCGGCGTAAATTTTCCTCCAACGACTGAGGAAGTAGCGATTCTACTCTTGTGTTTTTTAATTTCCTATATCTTCCGATTGTGTCAATTATATTCAATGACCAGAATACTAGTAATGAAGTCACCTTTGATTAGCAATGGTATTTTTAGTTATATTTAAAAACAAGATTATTCTTCCTATAAAAACAAAGAATTTTGTTCAAAAACATCAGAAACCTTTTTTTGTTTACTGAAATCGATTTAAATATTGATCTAGATTTTCAGAGTTCTTTAATAAAAATGTAAATTACATATATGAGGTCTTATTTAAAATGCAATGCATTAATTTATTGTACTATTTATTAACTTTTGCGGCTCAGTTATTACAGTTCATAAATAGTTTTCGTCAACCATAACTCAATCGTTTTTATTAACGATGATCCA